CTTCATTGCCGGAGCCATGTCTTGACGGTAGGTCGGGCGAGTGTCGTCAAAGGCCTTGTGAAAGCTTGAGCAGCGAGCGCTAAGCGCAAACGGAGCAACCGGATTGTCTTTCGTCAACGTTGCCTAATGCTCACATCTGCAGAGTTCCGTCGGTGCTTCTTCTTATCTTCCTCCGGTCAAACTCTCGCAATGACGCAGGCCTCCGCCGGGCCATCTGCATCCGGAGGATAGCGCCTGACGGGCACTCAGCAACCTACGCAATGAACCCAAACCCGAAACCCCACATCCTAGACCACTGGTCATGCAAGGGTGCAAGAAAGCCCCACGGGCCTCCCTACTAGCTCACTCTGGACAAATGCGCCCAGTAGATGCCCAGACCCTGAACTCCTGAAGCTCTCAAACCTAGAGCTAGAAAGGGTCCAGGCACCCTGAGAGGTTCTTAGGCACCCTTGTTTCAGAGTCAGACAATGTATGAAGCCCTGTAGACATAAAACCCTAAAAGCCTTGTAAAGTATAGCCCTTGCAAAACACAAAACCTCCTCAAGCCCGCAAGAAGCGAAATATACGAACCTCACAAGAATCCTACGAAACCCCAAAAAGACAAGACCTAGTAAATAATAACTCCTCAAGACAAGACCACCGAAACATGCCGTATTAAAACATCAGCACTTTCTAAATCCAAAAAAGGCCATAGAAAGATAACAAAAAACACAAAGAGAGCCAAACCCTGAACCCGACAAAGCAGGAAACCCTAAACCCCAAACCCTAAAACCACCCTAAAACCCTAAAACCCAAACCCTAAAACCCTAGAACCCTAAATCCCTAAAAACCCTAAAACCCTAAAACCCTAAACCCTTAAACCCTAAACCCTAAACCCTAAACTCCTAAACCCCTAGACCCTAAAACCCTAAACCAGCTGAATAGGCCCCCACATGTTGTCGGGCCAAGGCTTCGAGTTTTTGGAGCCGACCTGGCTCTTCTCTGGTGGCGGTTTAGGGTTTTAGGGTTTCGGGTTTAGGGTTTAGGGGTTTAGGGGTTTAGGGTTTCGGGTGTAGGGTTTAGGGGTTTAGGGTTTAGGGGTTTAGGGTTTAGGGGTCTAGGCGTTTAGGGATTAGGGTTTAGGGGTTTAGGGGTTTAGGGTTTAGGGTTTAGGGGTTTAGGGGTTTAGGGTTTGAGGTCTAGGGCTTCGGGCTTAGATCCTTTAAGGCCTCCTAACTCTAAACCCTGAATCCTCAGCCTTAAGGCTTAGGGCCTTTGGGGGCTTCGGGTTTAGATCCTTTAAGGCCTATAGGGCCTTGAGAACTCGGTCCTTTAGGGCTTAGTGCCTTAGGGATTAGGGTTTAGGGTTTAGGGTTTAGGGTTTAGGGTTTAGGGTTTAGGGTTTAGTGCCTTAGGGTTTAGGGTTTAGGGGATTTGGGGCTTGAGTTCTTAGGGTCCAGGCTGTCTCTTCTGGTTGGGGTCCACCGTAGGGATTTAGTAACCTTCAAGGCTTCCACTTGAAGGGGTCTATAGGGCACTGTAAGGTTTCAGCATACAAGGGCCTTAAGAAGTAGAAGAGGATTTCGAGGCAATTTTGGGGCATATTTTCGATGCTTACGTAGTGACGTAAGGGGAACAAAGGACAGGCTGTTGAGGCGTCTATATACGGCTTTGCGGCCTCTGGGATAAAGGATTTGTCCTTCTCCTTAAATTAAAGGATACACTACTACTACTGAAATCCAGAAAGGACTGTGCTAAAATCTTACAAAGTCTGCATTTCTGAGTCCTAGTGACGTTGCAGGGTTGCGGGTTTGTTTCCGGTGGAATGTCAGGATTCAAAGGTTTTCGACTTTGTGGATTTGGGGTTTAGACGGTTGAGGGGATTTAGGGGTTTAGGAGGTTTTGGGTTGAGGGGATCTAGATTTAAGATTAATATAGGGCCTAAATAGTTACCAATACTAGTTTGGTGGTTCCTTACTAGAATTATGGTATAATATAATCCAAGACTCTATTCTAACTATTAAGGCCCCTATATTATAGGCTATGTTGATAGGCCTGGAGTAGCAACTTGGGTGACCGAACCTCACGGTTGCCTCCGCACCGAAGGCTTTGGGCTTCTAGAGTTGAGGAATCCAAGGAAGCGCTGCACACCGAGTCTTGAGAACCCTAAACCTCGAAACGTGTGTTTTGGGTGATTCTGGACATGGTACGCCCTAGCTAGACCCGAAACTGCTAGAACTGCAAACCTCAAAACTCAAAGCCATGCCAGCATGGCAGACACAGTCAGCACCAGCTTGGGAAACATCGCTTTTACCTGCAGAGCGGATAAGTGTTGTACTTGGGTCTAAGGGGCATGGAAGGTTTAGGGGGTGTAGGGTTTAGGGTTCCAGATGGGGTTTAGGGTTTAGGCTCAGCTGGTGGTGGTGCGGTGGCGGTGGTGGCATGCCGCGGTCGTGGGAGTGCAGACCTAATCATAGTCCTAGCCGTGGTCGTGGTCGTAGGATAGTAGCAGTAGCATAAGCGGGGGCTGGCGGTAGTACCCACAGAACCTGTCCGTAGTAACCCTAGGTACCAGTAGTAGGGGTAGTATTTGTAATACCAGCAGAATGTAGAGGGACTGGAAGCAAGCACGGCAGCGGTAGCGGTAGCGGTAGCAGAGCGAGCACGAGCGAGTGAAACGTAAACATCGATTATTGGCAGAACATTGGCAGAACATGATACAAGATCTTGACACGGCGAAAACGTAAGCCTAGGATAGCAGTGGAGGCGACTGGAAGCATGATTGCGGTGATGGCGATGACAATGGTAATGGCGATAATGGCGAGGATGACGGTGGTCATGATGATGATGATGATGATGATGAAGATGATGACGATGAAGATGATGACGATGATGACGA